CCAAGTATTTTGTACAGGTGTCTGTCAAAAATTAATGATTCACTGAGACAAATATGAACTGCCTTATTATATTAATTATGTGACTTCTGTATCATCTGAAAAGCAAAAAAAAAAAAAAAACTCCCTCTATGAATAACTATCATGTTACAAGCTCTGCTTTGTATGCAAATCAACTTAAATTGTTAATTGGTGTCCAGTGGAGAGAGAAGTCAACAGTACTGTTGCCTCCTGAGAATCTACATCTCCAAACACTGCAATCTTTGTTTTTGAAGTGCGCTTTTAAATTAGTTTTATAAAAGCTCTATCATTCTGTTCTAATAGCTGAAACAAATTCCTGTGAATTTTCATTTTCACTTGTAAAATGAACTGTTTGTCAAATACAGAATACATATTTTTGAGTAGAATTTTTTTTTTCAAAATGTTAATGCAACGTTTTGCTTTTTATGTAATTTTTATGTATTGTTTTTGTTTTGATAACTTTGGACTAAACAGATTTTCTGTTGGCTTCAGATCTTGATCAAAAGTTTGGCACCCAATTCATAAGAGTGCTTATATTGATTTTCTGACATCTTGGTTTCTGTAAAGATTTTATTGATAGGTTTGCGAATGTGTATCTGACTGAACAACAACCCTGTCCATGAGTTGGTTTTGAAACCCAGTCTAGTATCCCCATGGGATTTGGGAGATACATTCCAACTTTGATGATACGGGCAAGGCAAAAATAAATATTGTTGTTTAGACAATCAGGTTTAAACTTAATTGAGATTAAGCCTTTCTCAGAAATCGACAGGAGGTCGTCATTCTGATCAGGGTGTCCAGTGTTCTTGGGACGTACTAGTATATGTGGGAACCCATGAGCGGACCGCTGAGATCACATGGTGTAAGAACTGTGGGACTGCAATTGAGGATTAATTCTGACTAGAACAACATTTGTTCATTATTCCGTATTATATACTCTATATTCGTATTTTTAGATAATACACAGTCAGGCTGAATCGTAGTCCTTTTGACGACTGTGACTAACTATTGTGTTCTGAAATTTCACTTTTAGTTTAGAGAATTGGCAACATTAAATATAACGTGAATATTTTATTAAATGCATTTTCGGCAGGTATCTACTGTCGAATGGGAGCTGTCACTCACAAGCCCGGTAATCGGAATGCTCTGGATATTCTAACGTCCTCGTGGTAATCAGATTTGTGCGCTGCCAATTTTAATATTGCCCGGCACGTATATAATTGTATTTGTAGTTTGTACGATGACGTAACCGTTACGTTGAAATGCCTACATGCCATTTTAGTAAATTTCACTCAATTAACGAAATATTAGTTAAAGTGCCAACAATCGTATTGTGAGAATATACTTTATTATAAAATTTAATTAAATCTTCAATTTGCGAAATTACGGATTAGTTAACTTATTCTGAAGTAACATGGTAATTAAAAATACATGTTTTACAGTATCTCAAGTTCTCTATAAAACCTCAACTTACCGAAACTAGACAGATCTAGGCAGTTTGTTGTAAGCTGTTCTACAGGGTCGACATTGCAGAATACTGTGACCATTAAACCGAATACTACAGGGGCTACGAGCACAGAAAATATAAGGATCCAACACACGCAGAGTATATAGACCACCACTTCAAACTGAAAAGCAAAATATAATTCCATCAAACATATAAAATTATATCGCATGCTGTTTCCAATTGTATTGCATCAGTTATAACTTAATTTTAAACTAGATCTAATGTGTGCAGTAACATAATGTAACACGGCTTTTTCCCTGACACAAAAACAACGCATGCGTATTAAAGAAATCCATTGTTTCATCGAATAAAATTTCACATGTGTGCTACAAGAGCAGCGTTGTCAATTCATGATAATCATAACAATATTAAAAAGCACATGTTCTCGACAAAACTGAACCTTTAAACAAGAATTTTCGCCGGTTCTGTCACATCGCGTTTCAATTTCGACGGGATATTCACATTCAAATTACAATAATCTTTATTAATGCTTATTTCCAGCTGGTATTTAATTTCGCTATATTGCCATTTTCATAATATTCCTTAGTTTTAAAATTCACAGATTTTCCAGATAAACATTGAATTACATTTTAATTTTCGCATGTTCTCGTAGATTTTATTTAGCGGATTTCATTTAGTAACGAAAATGCCGAAATAAATGACTCAGGCTGTCACCGCCATATTGTTCCGAACACCAAAACAGCAACATTGTCAGCAAAGTTGCTACATGCATATTACGTACACGCCGATCGATATCATAGAGTGCCCTAGGAAAAACAATTGCTAACCCATCTTTGCGAAAATGATTACGATTAATAAAAATAACAACATAGATATTTTTGAATATACAATTGTTATTCGATGGTGTATGTTTAATACACGGTGTATGTTTTGTGGTGCATTGAATAATTCTTGTCTGATAATATGACAAACAACGCCTGTGCGCATGCTCTTTGATTTAATTGTACGTATCACAAAACACATCCAACATTTTCCATATCACACCTTAAAGCTGCGTTCTCTCTTTGAAAATTTGAGGTTATCGCTTCCAGAACAAATAGGTCTGAATAGATTTGTTTTTGAAAAATCAGTGAGGGTTTATAGTTTACTCAAATTCATATTCGGCAGTTAATTTCGCATTATCTTTCCTCAACCTTATTTTATTATAAAATACATGCATAATGTGAATGGAAAATGTAGTGAGGATGACAGTAAGCCCCCCCCCAATGTTTCTGGTCAAAAACTTGACACGATGAGACAAAACAGTAATTTTGTAGGCCCCATAACACTATGAGAAAAGGCAATGAATGTTAGTAGATATTGCGTTTGAAACCATACTATTTTATAATTATTTGATAAATGTATGAAAATCTTTATAAAACCAAGCGTCATTCAATATCGTATCACATATCGTCACTATTATATTAGTCAAAATTAAAATCAGCGAAATGTTTTAAAGTAAGGTATTATGCTAATCACATGCCCTCTATTGAGTGGATGTTTTCTGTATCAAATATTAGTATATATTAGGACGAGATATAGAATATTTATTTACACGCCAGAGTGGAGATAAATATTACCTCTGATATTACCGACTCATACTAATTATTCATGTCAACGGTCTGGGCCCTTTGCGAGAAGATTAACTGGGTATTATCCGCGTATTGTGGCTAGAAACGGTACATTGGCGTAGACTTTATGGTGGAACTGACAGCTTTATGTCTCTCCAAGTGAACGTCATTGTAACAAATTCGAATGCCATGAACCATGCAAGCGAGTATACTCAGTCTTGCTACACTGTTGATAAGTGCAGCCGACCACTGGAAAACGAACCCACAATACTGGGCGGAAATCATCGTGCCACTCTCAAGGTTACTATGTATTAACACTGACGGAGGACTTTGATGTTACGCAGATAAACGAGTACAAACAGGAGACGCTACTGATTTTTAACTAGATAATTCCGGGTTGATTGAAACGCATAGAATGAATCTAGGAAGTCAAGTCGGTATTTAGTGCACAGTGCGATCAGATAAAAACTCGCATTCATGCTTGCTACTGGGAAAATGCATAGCATTGTGGGTCAATCACACAAATCTCGCACATGCGCGTCTCGACAACCACAATCCTTTACTAATAAAGACATTTTCCGAACAATGTTACAACACATAACTGTTATGGCAACGTCTCTACGGACGATTATCGTTTTGCAAATTAAGTCACAAATTTAAATAAAATGTACTCACAATTACAATACAGAGACGTCCTGCACACCGTGCTCCAAATTTACACGACTTTTTGGCCGTTGTACACGTTGCTATAGCACCCAAAATCAAGACGATTGTGCCAATCACTGCGATGACACCAACTATGGCGTAGATTGCGTACTTCACTCCCGCTATCCTTTGAATACAAAATAGCACAACATTATTATTTATGAAACCACATCGTAAAACAAACATGTCCATGTGTTTATGCTCACTTGGTTTGGTGAGTGTATATGATGCTAACTTGTTGACAATCAGATATAAGAATTCAGCCTCTACGATCAATAATGTATTTTCAATTGTTCATGTTGCCATTTTTTCCCATTGTTCTTCTCATCTGTTTTACCTTCGAACATTTAGTGACTGACTAAGCTGAATTGTATTTTAGAAAAAATTCCCACCGATACGGTAGAACTAAGAAAATCACATGTGTAATTTTTAAATAAACCAACTTTTTGTAATTACTAAGTATCTGTAATGTGCTTCATTCATTAATTCCTGTAGTACCTTAATAAATAAATTCAAACAATGAAACTAGAAATAAATGAGTTGGGAGCAAAATTAGATGCTCACCCGTCGGTGTAGTCTTCATTGTTTTCAACCTCAGTTCCTGTAAACAGTTCTAGCGTCGCTATGATTGCATGTATCGAAAAGTAACAGAATACACATAGTCCTGAAATGAGTACAAAGAACGCTACTATTGAACCCCATGGCGTGCATGCACAGCATCCCGTATCACAGCAACCTGCCAACAAATGAAATAAAAGTAGTTACATTTCGACAACACAGGTTTCGAGAATCTAAACTGCATTGAGAACACATGTTTGTATGATTTCTGTAACGACGGGCATCCATGTTTCTGACATTAAAGGCCAAATCAGACGCCCGGGTGATTGTTTATTGGAGGTTTGGCTACTAGTATGCTAACGAGTGCTTGCGCAGCTTCTGTTTACAGAACCCCTTGTAGCTTATCATAAGCATCATATACCATGTTTACATCTGTTGATAGGTTGTATAGTTTTTTGTTGTTTTTTGCATATCGTCCCAGAATAGTTTTTTTTATGATTAGGTGGTTGTTGGGTGTCTACTAACTAAATGCACCACTAGTTACCCGGTTAGTACAGATGAATTAACATACATTTGCATATACATGACTAATGAATATTCATATTTACATAATTATCCACATTATATGGTAATATATGCAAATAATAAATATGAATATTCATATTTACATAATTATCCACATTATATGGTAATATATGCAAATAATAATTATGAATATGTATTAGTCATGTATATGCAAATGTATGTTAATTCATCTATACTAACCGGTTAACCACTTGCACCATCAAGTTCATTTCCGAGACGGACGGACCATATGGGACAATCTGTATACTCTATGATAACCGAAAAAACCAAAATAATTCGTAATGTAATGGCAACATTTTCGTTATTTTTGTGTTTCATAACCCCCCCAGTAGTGTCTGTCTTTTCGTACAATTTGTCACATCGTTGTATATGGCAAGATTGGTTAATTAGAAAATTGGGCAACTAGAAATAATAGAACAAAAAAATATTTTTTTGA